CTCGGCTGTGATCAGAACACCTACCTGTTAAGAGTGTTTGACTAAAGAAGTAAATGGCTGTCATTTGGTCTGCAAACTTTCATTAATCTCATCTGGGTTTTATTTCCTTTCCTGTTGTAATTGATTTGGGTGGCTGATAGTCCAAGCTAATGAAGACAATTCCAATGCCAAACATAAGAGACAGGCAAGAATAATTGAACCCCTCTCCTTGGAGGAGGAGCTACTGATGGGGGCTGAGACTGGAATTATGCTGCCACCTTGTGGTTGGAAGTAGCACCTGCTTTCCCTAATTCTTTAAAGTCATGGAATGAATATACATAAAAGAGTAAGAGATTATCAAGCTTTCAGTTCCAAATAATTAACCACACCCTCTTCTTAACTAGCCCCTATAAGGTTCCATAACCCCAACCAATACCCTTTCAAGACCAAAGAACAAGTTCCTATGGTAATCTAAAATTGTGGGGCATCGGAGGACAGAGGGAGTACCGTTGCCTCTTTTTCGGCAATCCCATAGGTTTCTATTAAGTTACAGTCTCTGACCATGATCTTAAATCAGCACAGTGAATAATTAAGTCTATTCTGAAGCAAAAAGATCTCATGGGCAATTATTAACTACATCTGCAATTACATTATCATTCTGCAACTCATTCTAGTGGGGCTTTCAAGTGTCATAATTAAGTGTCAGTTTAGGTAGAATAAAAATAAATGGCTCTCTTTTGTTCTGTGTTGGATAAATCACAAATATATACACATATGGTCTGAGAAATGGATGTTGTTTTACAACTGAGTATTTTTTAAACCTCAGAGACATGGTACATCTTCTCCTGGATCATATGCTCATTTGGTCTGCAAATGACTCTATCCTTATCCCTGCCAAGAAGGTGAGCAGAAAAGTCACACCTGTACATCTATGCACCTGGGAGGGGACAGTCATCTGCACAGATCGTGGGGAAGACAGTTGATCTACACACATAGATGGGGAAGGAGTGAGAGACTATACTAGCCAGTTATAGATAAACCATCAAAGTTTAAGATGGTGCCATGTGCACACCTGTAATCCCAGCAGCTCAGGAGGCTGAGGCAGGAGGAATGCAAGTTCAAAGCCAGCTTCTGCAATGTAGGCCCTAAGCAACTTAGTAAAACCCTGTCTCAAAATAAAAAAATAAAATTGGCTGGGGATATGGCTCAGTGGTTAAAAAAAACCCTGGGTTCAATCCCCAGTACCCCACTCGCCCAAAAAAAGTAATTAAGGTGAAAGCCAGAGAAGAAATGGGCAGCAGAATTATGGAGCAAATAAATGCAGAAAGAGGCCAAGAGAAAAAGAATGGCAGATCTCTAAGTGGGAATAATCTCACCTAGAGTTCTTTGCAGATGAAAGGCCAGGTGTGCATAGTCCCCTCCACACACACCCCGCCAGGCCCCCTCAGGGCATCTGATAAGTGGCAGCGGCTGTTCCCTGGCTCCTTTGTCCTCCTCTAGAGTGGTGCTAGCAGGCCTCTGAGGCAGAAGCTGCCCGTGCCATTGGAGCACTGTCCCTTGGGATTCAACTCTCATGATCAGACACCTAGACCAGAAGGTCTCTTTTCATTGTGAGATTTTTATCCAGGGCGAGAACTTTAAGAAAAAGTTCTTTCAGCAGATTTGGAGAAAATTCTGATTGAAGAGGGGTAAGCCAGGCATTTGGACACATTTTCTCTGAGTTCCCACCTTTATTGGGGAGCTTGAAATAGTCCCCTTTTGTCCTCTTTCTCCCTACAAGGTCCTAATAGTCTGGCACCCCACATATTTCATTGTATTCTATCAGCCTCCCCTGTTGAGAGTGGAGAGGAAAGAATAGAAACTTACAGCCATGGAGAAAGGTGCTAGAGATCCCATGCTAGGCCTGCCAGGATGCGCCTGGCTGCCTTTGAGCAATTCACACACCATCTCCTTTCTAAGAACTTAGCACTTTATAAATAAGCATTGATGAATCTGTTGTGTGAACAAAGGAAGTAACAAACAAATATCTGTACAAGAGACAGAGTTTTTGTCTGGGCTTCCTAAAATGTTTTATGCTCTGGGATTGTGTGCAAAATTTATTTCATATACTTATAGGTCACCATGATTTCAGGGCTTCCTTGAATGTGTTGGGTTGTTGTTTTTTTTTTTTCAGCTTTTATTTGTTTTTCTATTTTAAAAAAAAATCTTTTTAGTTATGCGTGGCAGTAGAATGTACCTGGACATATTTATATAAGCATGGAGTACATCTTATTCTGATATTAGGATCCCAGTCTTCTGGTTGTACATGATATAGAGATCCACCATGGTGTATTCATATGTACATAGGAAAGTTATGTCAGATTCATTCTACTGTCTTTCCTATTCCTGTCCCCCCTCCCTTTTCTTCCCCTTTGTCTAATCTTCCCCCACCCCAACTTGTTGTGTTTGTTTCCACATATCAAAGAGAACTTTCAACCTTTTATTTTGGGGGATTGGCTTATTTCACTTAGCATAATAGTCTCCAGATCCATCCATTTACTGGCAAAAGTCATAAACTCATTCTTCTTTATAGCTTAGTAATATTCCATTGTGTATATATACCACATTTTCTTTATTCATTCATCTGTTGAAGGGCACCTAGGTTAGTTCTCTAGCTGAGCTATTGTGAATTAAGGTGCTATAAATATTGACATGGTTGTGCCACCATATTGTGCTGATTTAAGTCCTTTAGATATATACTGAGGAGTGCAACAGCTGGATCAAATGGTGGTTCCATTCCAGGTTTTCTGAGGAATCTCCATACTACTTTGCAGCGTAGTTGCATCAATTTGCAATCCCACAGGCAATGTATGATGTACCCTTTTCCCCACATCCTCGCCAACATTTATTGTTATTTGTATTCTTGATTGTTACCATTCTGTCTGGAATGAGAGAAAATATGTTTTAATAACCTATTTTTGTGCTAATTTGTAGACTCGGTTTAAAGTGAACTATCCTTTGCATCAACAAATCATAAGAAAAGTGGTGTTTATTTTCATTCAGTTACAGCTGTTCAGGAACAAACATACAAAAGCAATTTCACTGTTTATTACTGTATGCCTGTAGTGTTTATAAACACAACACATAGCCAAACACAGGAAGAAAGAAGTTCTATGTTACACAGAAAGTTCCAATTTACATCTTATAGAGCATTAGAAGGAGCTATTCATGTGGACTCACAGGCTGAGAAAAGCAGTCCACCACTTTATCTCCCAGAATTCTCTCTATACACTGTAGATAACATTTCCTAGTTCCTCACTTTTTGTTATTCTTCTACCTGGAATATTCAAACAAATATGATCATATTTCCCCTGCAGAAAATTTGGTCCAATGGAACTGTCTTTGTCAAATGGCTTTTATTTTCCCTCTTCTGGGCACACCCTGGTGTGCTGCTGAGACACCCCAGAGCTGCCCTTGCAGATGCTCAGATGGCCAAATATCTACACTCCCTCCCCAAAGCAGACCAACATGGAAACATCCATCGGCAGTCTTTCTCAAGAATGCTGTGATGAGTATTGTCCGAGGACAAAAATACTTGCTTACTTTATACATGACACTTGAGATTAAGTTCCAGATGGTTCTTGGTAAGTGAGAATGTTCTAGAACTGACAAATAGTCCTGAACCAAGCCTCCCTGACCATAGATCATTGTTCATCTGCTGTACCACTATATTTGTAAATTATCTGTAATACTTAAAATATTGAATGAAAGGAGTCTGACCATCCTCATTTAGAAGCACTGTAGCAGGAGCAGGGAACGGTGGCCCCTAGTGATCAGGAGCTTCTTGGAGGAGTAGAGTTCACAAGTTTTGGGGCCCAAATGGCTGGACTCATACCTCCTTGCCCTCGAGCTCCAGGGATGCTTAGGGTAGGTTCTCTGCTGAGTTTCTGCTTCCATGTCTATAAAACAGGGACTCACCGTTCCTCCTTCACAGGGTGACAGGAGCAATTAAATGAGGAAAGCATTTAGCAGAGTCCCTAGCAAGTACCAGGTACTAAAGCCTATTAAGTATAGCTCTGTTGCTTAATTTGTATTTGTTTATAAATAGGTCTGATTTGCTGCTGGGGATGTAGTCGCAAGCCCACACTTCCAGCCATTCATTTGAAAATGCGTTTTTATTGGTGTTCACAGCAGCTTAGTGGAAGCCAGTCCTGAAAATAAAGTCACACACTCAGAATAGACAGCTGTGTACGCAGGTGAGGAGAGAGGGGTTCTGTTTTGTTCGTTGTATGAGCCTTAAACCTTCTAAAAGGATGGCGTGGGGAGTAGGTCATGAATGCATTTTTGTAAAAGCCATATATTATTTAATACAGTTCTGATGGGGGAAAAGTGAATCCAAATCAACATGTATTTATTCGCCATAGAATGGGGAGTACTTGGAATCTTTACCTGAAGACATTAAGAATCCACACCCAAATATGTGATGATAATACAACTTTTATTGCTTCAAACACAGCTACTTTCCCATTTTACATGTTTACATGAGGAAAACAGAGGCTACCCCAGGCATGGGGACTTGCCTGGAGTCAGGTTTCAGAGCGCATTTGCTTCCTGCATGCACCTCCCTGGCTGTGTTATGAGTTCTTGCTTCTGGCAGGAACCTGACTACAGGTTGGGATTCTCTTACCCCAAATTCTTGGGATCAAAAGCGTTTCGGATTTGGAAATTTTTCAGACCTTGGAATATTTCCAGATATCTTGGAAAAGGGACCTAAATCTAAACATGAAATTTATTTAATGTTTCATATTTACCTTATGCACATAACTTGAAGGTAACTTTAGACATGTTTTTAGTGCACCCATATTTTGACTGCAACCCATCATGTGAGGTCGGGTGTGGAATTTTCTACTTGTGGAGTCATGCCTACACTCAGAGAGTTTCAGATTCTGGAGCATTTCAGTTTTGGGGTTTGGGAACTTGGAATGCTTAATCCATGCAAGGTTCTGGCACTTGTCATGAGAAGTAATTTCCAAACACATCAGTTTCTTTGCAGGAAGACACCACGGCCCTCTGCCCCCCATGTGGCCACCTTTGAAGAATTGACTCATTCCATCAGCTGTGCCAGGTCCTTTTCCCACCATGGGACCAGAAGGAAGTGTGCTGAGCGGCGGACAGATGCAGATCATTCTCTGGGGAAGTTTGGCAGCTGTTGCCATGTTCTTCCTCATCACCTTCCTGGTCTTTCTATGCACAAGTTGTGACAGGTGAGAGCCAACATGTATCTAATTGGAATCTCAACCTATTCCCTGGACCCAGAAGAATCTTTACACTAAAAAGCCTCTTATACATGGAATCTGACTGTAAAGGCATTCACACTCATATGTTAAAATCAGCTTACCTCTCTCTGCTGGAAAGGGTTCCAAGAATATTCTATATTAATTGGATGAAAATCCGTATTGATTTTGCTGGGAAGAAACGCAAAGAGCTCCTCTTACATTTTAAACTTCTTTTAATAAAATTCTTGCTGTTTTTTTTGAGCACATTCTCGTCAATATTTTATTGTCTTTTTCCAGCCGTGGACATTTTGAAATCCAAGTGCACCATGTATCTTTTTAACCACTATTTGGAAATTACTAAGGAGTTTTGCTCTCACATGGCTTTGGAGAGGGAGCTTATTATCTAAAGTATGTGAGGTAGATCTTCAAGTTCTGAAGAAGCAGATGAGTTTTCCTGGAAGAGGGAGAGGTTTTATGTAGAATACTCATTAGCATCATTTTTTAATTTTTTTTAGAATTATACTTTTGTCTCTCTCCTCTCATACAAAATGTCAATGCCCTCCCCCCAGTAAAAAGAGATCTTTGCTCAGAGAGAAGTAAAATTCTTTCTCACCAGGAGTGGCTTCTCCAGACATTCAGAAATAGTTATAATGCATGCAAGCCATGCTGCTGGGAGCCAGTGAGGACCAGTTTGTCTGGCCCTGGTCATGTCTATCTTCTCAACCTCACAAGAAACTTGACTAGTGTCACTTAAAAGTCTGATATGATGTCCTATGCTAAAATCTGTCAGGAGGGGAAAAGCCAGACTCTCTGACCCCCACATAGCCTTCTAATCCCTGCCTATCTTGGACTTGGGCTTCCATGGCTGAGGACTGGTTATCCAGCCAGGAAGATGAAGAAATAAAGGTGACTGGGTACTGGCTCTCCTAGGCTTGAGAGAGCAGCTGCTGCAATTACTCGCTCCACCACTAAGTGGCTCTCTTGCCCCGACTGGGATGGGTTTCCTCTTTACAACCGGGAGCTTTCTTTAGACTGTCCTGGGTGAAAACAGTTCTATTTTTATTCGACAGACTTTTCCATAGACTCGAAGTACAGATGACTCATCCTGAGAGCATGTACCCTTCCTGATGTGCCAAAATTTGTATTTTCTTTACTTTCTCTGTTCCATCGCAGTGTGTGACTTCACAGACTTTGTGAGATAAGATAACCTTCTACATTTTTCTATAGACAAAAATGGCATAACTCACACCAGTGATCCAGGTGTCAACAGTTTCCACACTGGACCCGACCTTGGTCCTCTCATGGTGAATGTGTGTTCTCTACTCCTGGAGAAAGGATGCTTACGAGAAGGGAGCAGTCCCTTGCTGTGGCGGGGTCTCCTCCTACCCCTGACTCCTACAGACGGCTTCAGGGACTGGCCAGCATTCTCCTAACAAAATAAATAGAGCTCTTAAAGTCGGTAGGAATGAGGATAGGAAAAGGTAGTGTGGGTTTGGTTTCAAGGAGCACTTTTGGCATTCAAGCAACATTTTATTTTTCCATTTCAGAGAAAAGAAGCCAAGACTACACAGTGGAGACCATGAGAACCTGATGAACGTGGTGAGTGTAAGCCTCCGTGTGTGTGTGTGTGTGTGTGTGTGTGTGTGTGTGTGTGTGTGTTGTGTGCACTTTAAAACAGCAGCCACCTTTCCACCTCTCTCACTTACTGATGACCTGAATGGACCTGAGGGGCAGAACTAAGCAGGAGTTAGCTGTGACTGCCTGCACTGTACCCTCCTTCTGTAGGTGCATGTTCGCCATGGCCCGAGGCCTGTGCCTTGGCCAGGTTTGTGGGGAGAGTTTCTGAAATAGATGGGATTGTGCTACTGCCAGAAAGATCCTTAGGTGGCTCCAATCTGCCGCGGGGATGTTTCGGTTTTGCCTCTGCCAGGCTCCAGCCGGTGTTATTAGTCTGCTAGGGCTATCATAAGGACAAACTGGTAGCTTAGGTAACAAACTCACTGTCTCTCAATTCTGGAGGCCAAAAGTCCCAAAATCAAGGTGTTGGCAGGGTTCGTTCCTTCTGAGGTTAGGTCTTTTCTAGAACTCTCTCCTCGCTTCTGGTGGTTTCCTGGCGGTCTTCGGTTTGTAGGGGCATCAGTGCAAACTGCCTTCATCTCCACGTGGCGTTTCTTCTCTGTCTTTCATATCATCTTCCCTCTCTGCATGTCTGTCTGAGTCCAAGTTTTCCCTTTTTATAAAGGCACCAGACATTGGACTAGGGTCTAGCCTATCCTTGGGTGACCTCATCTTAACCAGTGTCATCTGCACTGTGTTCCCAAAATGATCGTATTCTGAGGTACTGGGGGTTAGGACTTTGACATGAATTGGGGGATACAGTTCAACAACCCATAACAGCTAATCATTAGACTCACCCTGAGACCTAGGGCCCAGAGACTTAAAGGGTAGGTGGGCCTTGCTACATTCTGCCAGTCCCCAGCCTCTCCTGGGTTCTGATGGGTTCTGAGAGTCTCAGGGATCCACCTGGAGAGGAGCAACCTGAGATTATCCTAGTCCTGCCATGTCCTTTGACAGTTTTTATTAAAAAAAAAAAAAAAGTCACTTTCTCTCCTGGACATCGTTTCTCAAGATGGTTGGAGAAAGAGGGTCCAAGAAGGGAAGTATGGATGAGCCAAATACTTAAGGTGAGACCTGGGATCAGACTCCCAGGTGGCAGACACAGTCAGAGCACACACAGGAGGCACCCTCCAGCCCAGGCTGCCTGACTGGATTCTCAGGATTCCTGTGGCCCAAGCAGTCAGGAAGTAGCCAAGGTTCTGGGTTCCTCTCAGGGGGGCTCCAAGGTCTTCCTTACCTTCCCAAACCTTGCCCAACACACCTCTCCTGGCCCTCAGCACTGATCCTCCCTTGATCCTTTTTCTGGGTCACATCATCCACGCTGTCTCCACTTTTCATCTGTTCCCAGTGTCTCTGTTCCACCTCAGTGATTGTCCCAGAGAGAAAGTTGGACGGATGCAGGGGCCCCGCTGCTGTGGTTTCTCCCATGCACACAGCCTGGGCTCCGTCTTTCTTCACACCTCACCCTCCTCAGAGCCCAGTGGGACTGGGGGAGGGCTTCCACTTCTGTCCTCATTTCTTCTAGGACAGGGGTTCTCAAGTGTGGCCTGGTCACCAGCAGCAGCAGCATCACCTAGGAGCTGGTGAGGAGGGCAAATTCTGGGAATGGAGGGCAGCAAGCAAGAGTTCTAGACCTTCAGTTTCTGCTCTTCTGCTCAAGGTTCGCAGCAGCCTTGGGTGAAACAGGAGGAGAGGGGCAACTGAATAAAGGAAAATCTGACCCTCTGCATTTTCCTCCTCACACGCCATCTTCTTAGCTACTGGCCCCTCTTAGCACCTCCTGTATGACTGTGTGTGTCTGAGAGCAAGTGTGCACACACAGGAGCATGTGCTGACACTGGCACACCATGGGCATGCATACACACACACACACACACACACACACACACGGATCAGACTCACAATGATTTCATTTCATCTAAATCTAAGTGGCTTGGCTTTAAGAGCTCAGCTCCCAGATCAAATCGTGTACATACAACTTGCAGATCCCGTAACTCTTAGAAGGGTAAGATTAGAAGTGGATTATAGAACTTCAGCTGTGATGGATGTTGCGGTTATGGGTCCACCTGGAAGTCTTCCTCTCCCACCCACTCCTGCCCTGTCAAGTCATCATTTCTGGGTCATTGGCATCTGTATCTCAAGTCCCTGACAACCCAACACAGTGGCCATCTCATATGGAAGCAGATGTAAGCAGCATTGAACTGAAACAGAAGACTGCCTGGAAACTTAGGCCTGGGCTATTTGCTGTCTATTATTATTTTATTCCAAATCAGGAATCAGATGATCTTTGAGGCCAACTGAACAAGGTTCCTCTGCTTTTCACATTAGAACTTGGCATGTGGGACCCTGGAGCCTGAGGTTACCTCTTGGGTCACACAGACCATGAAAACATGAAAAGGATGGGGGGGGGTGGGAGGCAGATCCTGAGTCAGGCTGCTGTCTGGCCCAGTTGGGTAGGTAAAAAAGTGCACCAAGAACCGACTTGTTTCTGCCTTCCCTTGGCAATACCTCAGCCTGGCATGTCGTCCCAGGAAGTAGCTACAGATTCTAGCCCAGCGGAAAACTGTCAATTTTTTGTCCTTCTCTCCAAGCGTGCTGTGTTGGTTTGTGAGAATAGGAAAGGTTTACAAAGCTATTTTTTTAGCACATGATTGCTTTTATGAACCTTGAAGCCAGAGGCTTGGCTGGTTCTGAAATAGTCTCAGAAATCAATGGCATTTTCTGTGTTTGACCAGATCTAAGTCTGTTCTCATCAGATGACAGAGGATGAAGCTTCGTGCTGTTTTTCATAGCATGGCGCACCTGAAAGAATAGCATTTCACAGCACCTGTGATGTGAGGATGAGGCTACTCCCTGCTGGAGTCAGTGCTGACCAGCACCAGGACTTCTGATCCCCTCCCTGCCTTGAGCTAAGGGGGCTGATGTCACAACTTAGGTGTTGGCCATTTATAGATCACCATGTGGGAGCTCTGTCAATGGCCTCAGAAGATTCCCAGTGCCCCTGGGACTCTGGAACCACACTCTCTGGTAGTCCCTTCACAGTGGTGGAAGCAGTCTGTGTTAGTACTGTCTATATCCGCACTAGTGAGCCCTATAATATGACTATTAACTGAATGCTCAATTTGATTTGATTTCACTTCATTTAAATCTAAGTAGACGACTCTGTTTTTTGCTTTTGGTGTTCTGAGTCTTAGAAAAAGCCAGGAATGTTCTCTGCTGTGCAGTCCATATTCTTAGCAATGTGGATACATTTGTTTTTTTGCAGCCTTCGGATAAGGAGATGTTCAGCCATTCAGCGACGAGCCTGACCACAGACGCTCTTGCCAGCAGTGAACAGAATGGGGCACTCACCAATGGCGACAGTAAGTTCTGCAGATACTCCAGCTTTAGCTGGACACAGTGGTGCACGTCTATAATCCCAGAGGCTCAGGAAGCTGAGGCAGAAGGATCACAAGTTCAAAGCCAGCCTCAGCAACTTAGCAAGGCCCTAAGCAACTTAGTGAGACCTTGTCTCTAAATAAAATACAAAAAAGGGCTAGGGATCTATGTCAGTAGTTAAGCACCCCTGGATTCAATCCCTGGTATTGGGGAAGAAAAAAAAAAAAACACCTTCCCACACAGGTCCCATCACCTGCAAAAATAGTAGGTCTCAAAAATTGTAGGTCAGAAACTAGGGAATGTGTTCTTACTCTCTTTTATTATTTCTGCAAGCTTTAGCAAATAATCTCATTTGGATTAATAGTATCTAATATCTATTAATTCTCTTCTGTGTGCCAGGCATCGCTCTAAGATGGGTATGGGCACCAACTCATCACCCTAACCCTGAAATGTTACTCTTAATGATAGGACTATTACTAGCACCTTGAAAATGGGCATCATTGCTACCCACGTCTTAAAAGGAGAAAACTGTCCACATTTCTGCTCTAACATGTTACCACAAACTTAGGACCCCAAACAACACAGATTTATTTAATTAACATGCAGTTCTACTTTCCTTGATTCGAAGCCTCACTCCTTCACTAATAAAGACCCTGTAATTCACTGGACCTACCTGGCTAGTCTAGGATTCTCTCCCATGTCAAGGTCAGCTGAATGGCCGCATTCATTCATCTGTAACCTTAATTTCCCTCACAGTATAACATAATATATTCATGGTTTCCAGGGATAAGGACATGGACATCCTTGGGGGACTGTTCTTCCAACCACAGAGGTTCATAATTTGCCTAAGGTCATATAGTAAGTAGCTGAGGACCTCTATGAACTAGGCAATTGGAGTCTTCTATGCACCCAAACCATTCTGCATAATGTCCGTTTGGTGCACTGGATATTTTTGCTGATGAACATAGTGACTACATTTGCTTTAGACCTTATGGTCTACAGTGCATTGCACTTGAGGGAGGAGGTCATCTCTTTATCTCCATTTACTGATAAGGAAACTGAGGCATGATCAGTATTCACACCTGAGTCTCAGACACCAGTGCCCACTCTCTGTCCTCCATGGCACAGATGACAAGACCAAAAGGGCGGGATGAGGATAGAACACAGGGGGTTATTGTTCAGTTCAAAGGCACAGGAATTTATGGTCATTTCCTACATATCCCTTGAGGATACTATTTCTAACCAGCCCAAAATGTCTGCACAGTCATCGAAGAACTTACTCACTCCAGGGTATGCACTAGAAGGACAGGACTCTGCTTCATGGGCAAATGTATCTCCACCTTCTTGAACCATCCCTGGTATGTAGCAGGCCCTGGTAAAATGTCTGATGAAGGGAGAGCTACCTGACTTCACACAGGAACATTTCTATGACAGTCCAAGAATTTCTCATTTGGAAGTCCTAACTTGAGATAGGGATGTTGGGGTGAGGAAGTGAGGTGGAAGAAAGTTCCTGAAGGAGGCATGAGGTTTCCAGGCCCTCTGTGATATTGGCTTAAGGGTACATTGCTTCTGTTACATCTGCCAAAAGAAAATGACCAGCGAAAGATCATGGCTACCAACTACTCCCTCCCAATAGGTAGAAGTCAAGAGGGCCAGAGAGAGTGTCCGCCACACGCCCTTTTCTTTGGTGTCCAGCTTCCCAGTTTGGCCCCATCAATTATCACTTTTATCCTCTGGTCACATGGGACACTCTACCTTTAGGAGTCTCATTAGGAATAATATCAAGTAATGAAAGTAACAGTGAGCCAGATGGTAGCCAGGAGAATTTATTAAATGTTGTACTGAGAAAGAGAGAATGAATGGATTTCATTTTAAGCTGTGATTGAAAATTAAGAATATAAGAATCCTTATAAGAATATAAGAATTCAACCATATAAATTTGCAGCTGGGTATCAAATAAAAAGCACGCATCTTGATTCAACCTGAGGTCGTACATCTGATTCACTGTAATGGTCATTTTGGGAATCATCCGTCTTGTGATACTTGTGCTCTCTCAGTTCTTTCAGAAGACAGTACCCTGACCTGCATGCAGCCTTACGAGGAAGTTCAGACCTCTGCTTCCGATCTGCTGGACTCCCAGGACAGCACAGGGAAGCCTAAGTGTCACCAGAGTCGGGAGCTGCCCAGGATCCCCCCGGAGAGTGTGGTGGACACAATGCTCACTGACAGGAGTGTGGATGGGGATCAGGGACCAGGCACAGAAGGGCCCTATGAGGTGCTCAAGGACAGTTCCTCCCAGGAAAACATGGTGGAGGACTGCTTGTATGAAACCGTGAAGGAAATCAAGGAGCTGGCAGGATCAGGACACCCAGACAGAGGCCAGGGTGGCAAGTCAAAGTCTGCTTCCACCTTGAAAGAGCTTCCGGGTCCCCAAACGGAGGACAAAGTGGAGTTTGCTGAATATGCATCTGTGGACAGAAACAAAAAGTGTCGCCAGAGTGTTAATGTAGAGAGCATTCTTGGAAATGCGTGTGAGCCAGAAGAGGAGGCCCCACCACCTGTTCCCGTGAAACTTCTGGATGCAAATGAAAACCTTCAGGAGAAGGAGGAGGGAGAGGCAGAAGAGCAAGCCCCAGAGGGGAGCAGGGAGACCAATAAGGTAGGCTCCAATTCTTGGTTTTGTGGGTCATCCTGGGGTTTTTCTTGCACGTGTTCCCGGGAACTATTTCCAAACACTTGCAAGTTCATTGATGAAAACTATTTTAGTGTCAGCTGTGTTTTCTTTTTTCTCTACTCCAAGTAATAAAATTCTGAAAACTCATGTTTATAAATATTTCTCTCCCAGCACCTTACTTGGCTATTTTCCAGTTTTTGTATTGTGTCGAGTTAGGGCCAAGTATTATTTTCTTCGTCTTGAAGACTAAGAACTAAATAGGCTACTAGACTCTCCACTGTACATTTTTTTACCTCTTCTGCTTACCGGTGTCTTTGGTCGTGGCTTTGACCCTTGCAGGACCCCCCAAATCAAAGCCTAGTTACATTTATAGAGAGAGCTGACTCTCAGGTGCAGCTGGTTCTATCTGGTTGTATATACTTTTATATAAGTCAAGAGATCTTATTTTGTGACAGTTTCTAAGCAATAACCTACAGTTGTAAAATTGAGACCTCAATAAAACTCTAAAACGCCTTAGTAATCCACAGCCTTCTGTGTGTATCCAACATGGTATCTGGAACCTCACATTTCCAGTTGACAGAATTTTCTTGGGATTTAACTAAGCTTCATCTGCTTTAGGTAATTTATACCTAATTTCTGGTCTCCACATGGGAAAAGAAAATAGCAAAGTCCTTTTCTACTTAAGGGAGAAGGACAAATAAGAGTTGGTCAGTCAATTATGGCCTTAAAACACTTCTTGGAGTTCATGGTCAGAGGTGACCCGTGGCTGTGGTTGTATATGTTACATGAAGCAAGTCATTCTTAAAACTGTTCTCTGGGGCTGGAGTTATAGCTCAGTGATAGAGTGCTTGCCTAGCGCATGTGAGGCACTGGGTTCAATCCTTGGTACCACATAAAATAAATAAATAAATAAAGCACTACAACTAAAAAAAAATTGAAAAACTATTTTCTGAATGTATTTCAGCTTCTCATATTATCCATGAAATCAGCCGTGAGATCACCAATGAAAGTGTTCACAAAAGTGTTCATAGAATGAAAAAATGCAGCTGGGCATAGTGGCACACACCAGTTATCCCAGCAGCTCAGGAAGCGGAGGCAGGAGGATCATAAGTTCAAAGCCAGCCTCAGCAAAAATGAGACACTAAGCAACTCAGTAAGACCCTGTCTCTAAATAAAATACAAAATAGGGCTGGAGATGTGGCTCAGTGGTTGAGTGCCCCTGAGTTCAATCTCTGGTACTCCACACTCCAAAAAAAAAAAAAAAAAAAGACCTGGAATTTGATTAAAGAAGGAGAAACTTTGAACAGTGAGTGTTGATCTGCAGGGAGTTGCTAGGAGCAGGGATGGTGGAGGGGCTCTGGATCAGGGCAAGCAAAGCTCTGAGAGTAGGTGGGGAGCTCAGGTGGAGCACACCACCATCTGTGCTAGGTTTGAGAAGGTCCACATTTGTTGAAATTGTTATGTCTAGGGGTGCTGGGTTCATTTTATCCATTCAGCAAAGAATTGAAGAACAGGACAGAGAGATAGCACCAGTAAGCAGCAGATTTACTGCAAAAGCAACAAAGATAGACTTCTCCAAAGAGAAGAGGCCCTGGAGCTGGGAATTGGTGAGGGAGTTTGGGCTTGTTCTTTTTATGGTCTCTGGAATTTCCTCCTTATCTCTTCTCCTGTTTACATACGCCCCCACCCCTATTTTTGATTGGTGCCCTCTCTGTCCACACATCTGTTTTAGTTTTTCTACTGGATCCCCTGCTTAGGTACACCAGTACAGAAATGTCTGTCTGACTGGGTCCCCCACTTGTGTCCATGAACACTTTCATCATCCAGGAAGTCATTAGAAGACCTTCCTCATGCTCCTTTTTTCTGGCCCTGCCCCCAACCTCCTCACTCGCCATCTTGCCCTGGCTGCCTAAGCCCTTCTACATCTCCCTCAAAATCAATCACAAAATTAAGACAGGATTTGTGTTAAAATTAGCAAACAGGAACCAGTCATTGAGAAATCAAGAGAGGGAAGGCCACACAAGGAGAGTTGAGAGTTCATTTCTTCATTGGGTTGAAGTTTCCAGAATTACTTAAGGATCTTCCTGATGATGTCATCAAACTATAGAAATATCAAATTCAGGCATTTGATATAGAGAGGCCTTTTATTATCAATCCTTCTTTGATGATCAATCCTTTAGTGACAATTAGCACTTGAAATAGTAGTCTAAATATTTATTCCTGGCTTATTTGTAATTCCAGTTTGTAATGTTAAATTAACAGTTTCTCTATTTGTAATGCTACTAGTTATATAAGAATATTACACAATAATTGTGTAAATGTTTATTTCCCAGGTGCTTCACAAAATTTCTTCATAGTTCAATAGGAATCATTTGACATAGTTTCTTTGTGGTTCCATAGAAGTAATTTGAAAACATTTTTTTATTGGTTGCCATGATCTTGACATATCATATTTCATACATTTGATTCAAGTGGGGTATGAATTCTTATTTTTACCACGTGTACAGATTGCAGGATCACATTGGTTTAATAAATCTTTGGAAATATAAGTAAAGAATGATGGGATTACTGACTTCAATCTATCTTTTTTTGATTTGTGTTTGACAGAGATTTAGCTCATTGTCGTACAAGTCTCGGGAAGAAGACCCAACTCTCACAGAAGAGGAGGTAAGTTGGGTTTCTTTTTTAAGTAACCAGAAAGCTCCTGTAATAAAGAATAGAACTTCTCCCCCGAATGTAATGTTTCCCTTTGTCTGAAGGAGCTCAATGCTCTCTTATGCCTGTATGTGGAGATCAAAATTGAGGATGGGTGACTGGCAGGTGGTAAGCCAAGCAAGATGACAAGACGAACAGGAAGTCTAAGTAAAATGAAATGAGGGTAAGAAGAACAGGAGAAGGAAGGACAGAAGAACAAGATGAGAGGAATTTCAACATGGGAGCTTTACTCAAAAGCCAGGAAGACCACATCAGAAGGAAATCAATAGTGCGTTCTCTAATGTGACCCCACCTGGAAGACTGTGTTAGTGAGAAATTTTGGACACCAGAGAGCAGGAAGCTTTAGAAAGTTCAATTCCAGACTGGAACAAGGGTCAGACATAGCAGCCAACAAGAATGAATTTTGTATTTTCAAACACTGCACTGAAAATTTGCTAGCTAGACTTTTAGTGAAGCCTTAAAATTATAAAAGCCAATATATGTGGTACATGTCAAGATAGGCTCAGACAGAGAGAGAAACATCTTCATGGATCTAGCTGCCTATAGCTTCTAGCTGAAACTTCCAGTATAGTAAATTTTGCACACATACAAGATCGATGTGTGTGTGCAGGTATGTACCTAAACAGGACTCTGAGGAAAGGGTTAGTGTGAAGGTAGACTCCCACATTGAAAGTTCAAGGAGCAAAAGTGCTTTCCTTAGGCAATCTTACCTAATCCCTTGCATGTCCCATCCCCCAGGAATGGACCTGCCATCTGTCCACCTTCTTGCACAAGCCAAAACCCTAGGGGTCATCCTTGATGCCTCCTTTCCCTGGTGCAGTAAACTGTCAGGTTCCTTCAAATGAACCTCCAAACGGGTTCATAGACATACCCCATCTGCTGGCTTCCCCAGGAGACTACAGCAGTCCCCTCCTTCTGGGTCCTTGGCAGCTCCTTTGCCTCCCTCTGGTCTGTTTTCTGCAGCCAGAGAGAAAATTGGGAAAACACAGCAAAATATAAAGAAGATCTGGAAGCTCATCCTTGAAAATAAATCATTTCGGAGCTGAGGTTGTGGCTCAGAGGTAGAGCGCTCGCCTAGCACACATGAGGCACTGGGTTCGATCCTCAGCACCACATAAATGTAAAATAAATATATTGTGTCTACCTAAAACTTAAAAATAAATATTTAAAAAAGAAAATAAATAAATCTATATAAATTTTTCAAAGTACTTTACTCCTCATATTTGAGATTTGTGAAATAGCACTTTATATTTAATAGAGTTATATTGACGAATTTTTAACTTAAAACACTGTGACTTACAAAATTTCATTTGAGGAAGATTTAGGAAAAAAATGTAGAAATTATTTATTCCTGTATGCCTTTAGTGATAACCTAGACTGAAACTAAGTTGTGTGTGCACTTTTGAGTTCTGCTGTCCCAATTTAAAAGAGTGAGGAAGAGAGAGTCAATTATAAACAGATGAGAAATGGGTAAAGGAAAAGAGAATTTATGTAATCCCTAAGACTGTAATAATTTATTGAGTAATAAGGATTAAGGTTTTAAAGAAAAAAATTAAAAAGCTAGGTAGCAAGAGGTCTTGAGAAACTGATATATAAAGTAGAAATCATAGCTATAGAAGACAAATATTCAAAAGGAATAATCAAAGGCTTGACAAGCTTTTATAAAAATTAAAAGGTACAGTGCTGCCCTGTACTTTTTAAAAAAAGTATAAAGGCCAAATACACCCAAGAACTCTTCCTAAGAGAGGAGGATGTTAATGGCAGTAACCTTGGAGGGGGGGAATTGAGATGGCAGTAAGGGCCACCTGTCATTGTCACTGTCCAAATAAAGGTGAAAGATAAGCTGTTATACCAATTCCCTTTGTCACTGCCATCCACGGCTTACCCCTATATAATCTGTCCCCATGTTTGGCTTTCAGACCACTTTTAGATAATAAATTCCATATGTATACCTAATTATGAAAATTGATGTTTTTAAAATTCTTCCTAAATTGAAAGAAATTATAATTCTTCTATTTGAGAGCAATTTCCCCGTTAAAAACTAAGGTGAGGGCTGGGGGCATCCCTCAGTGGTAGAGCACTTGCCTGGCATGTGCGGGGGCCCTGGGTTGGATCCCCAGCACCCCAAAAACAAAAACCTCTAAGATGGGACTCTTCATTTAATATTTCTTAATATAATACAACTCTTCATTAAACAGTCAAGATGGGCAAGGCAAGAGTCTTCCAAAGATGATTTCTCTGTCAGAGCCTCACAAAACAGACCCACCAGCCGGTAGTAGAAAGTTCTGATGCAGATGACCAGTTAACAGGCAGCAGGGCTGTCTTCAGAAGCGTCTGCAGCCAGCTGGAAAGCTCGCCCACAGTCTGCGCGAGATGTGGGAGAACAGGAACATGTCCCTGGGCGCTCGGGAAGCCAAGCATCTGTCAGGAAACATGTTTATTTATTTCCAGGGTATTTAAATGAATTAATCACTGTGGTAAAAATAAATACAGGTAATGAAGATTATGTCCTACTGGATGATCTCTAAGAAAAATTTGGGGAGTCGTACTCCCCAAATATCTGTGCATCAGTATATTTAATCTATCATGACTGAAGAATTAAATCCCTCTTGATATTATAGGTTTTGTGGAATATATTAGCACTGCCACAGTGTGTTTAGAAAGGGCCTGCTCTGACTATAGGAAAGAGTAACCCCAAAATGGTCCCCAAATTTCATTTCTGGTTGCAAAAAAGAATGAATTTTCCCACTGAAGAAAACTAAGCCTGCTCTGTAAATGTCTCTTTAACCAGTACCATGCAGCCAAGTCAGAGCGTGGTGGAGACCTGAATACTCACAGGGGCACATGTCCCAGAGCCCAGCAGCCACTCACACCACCAGAAGCAGGAGGCATGGAATGGTCTCCTTCTGTGGTTCTCACACTTTAGTGGGCATCAGATTGTGAGCCCTACCCTGGAGTCTCTGAGTCAGAGGCCTTGAGGTACAGCCTGAAGATTTACCCTTCTGAAAAACTCCAACATGCTGCTGCTGTTGGTTGGAAACCCACATTTGGAGAATTGTTGGTCTAAAATATGTCTTCTACCTTTTTTTGGTAAAGCTGGAGGATGTTTTGGGTAAAATATCATTCTGATATAGAAATCAAATAAAGGAGGGCATGTGCCAGGACCTGGGGTACCCTGAGCTCCCACCATTGCCTGTGCCTTTAGTCCCCTCAGTAGACTCACGGAACTCAGTTTGCACAGAATTAAGCAAATAAGATTGATCTGTTTACAAAGTTTGAAGATAACATCTATCATTATTCTCTGGTAATGGACTCCAGAATTAGTACAGATAAGTAAAACAAATCTTAAAGACATACACACACTCATGCATGCGTGCACACACACACACACATGCCCATGAGTGCTAAGTATATAACTTGTCACCCGAAAGGGGAGGAAGAAGTCACATCTTGAAGCCTGTTTATTCCGTTCTCCCTCTGTTTCCTAGATCTCAGCCATGTACTCATCAGTGAATAAACCTGGACAGTCGGTGCATAAACCAGGACATAAAGCACTAGAATCCACCTACACCACCATTCAAGCTGCCCCTCAGAGATCTCCCTCTTCTTGTAATGACCTCTATGCCACCGTTAAAGACTTTGAGAAAACTCCAAACAGCACGCTTCCACCGGCAGGGAGACCCATGGAGGAGCCAGAGCCCGACTATGAAGCAATACAGACTCTAAACAGAGAAGAAGATAAGCCCCCCCTGGAGATTAATGGCCACCCTGGTCTTGTCCCCAAGGAGAATGACTATGAGAGCATTGGGGACCTGCAGCAATGCAGAGATGTCACCAGGCTCTAGCAACCCAGAAGACAACTCCAGAGAGCCTGTGGTTAGTATCTGGGGACGGTTCTGTGGGGATAAGAAGTGACATCAATCTCTACTATATATGCTGCTTGGGTAAACTGAAGGTGATCACACATGCCACGACTGTTTCCCCAGTTCCTGAAACTCTGATGTCCAGACCTGGCTGTCCCCAAGTGTGCACCTGCCTGCCCCGGGAGACACCCCAGCACACGCACACCCCCTCACCGTCCACAAAAGATCCCAGCTGTCAGGGTTTATCCCTCTAGTAAGGACAGCCATGCTGTAAGGAAGAACTACACTCAGCAAGAACTACACTTCCACCTGCCTGAAATACTGCCATTTGGAAGAACCAGGTTTTTCTTCCTGTCTTTTCTCTGTCTGCTACCAACCTTAAAAATATATGGCATGTTCCCCTATAAAATCTTCTGATTTCTACAGTCCAATCCAAGGAAATTCTCCTACAGGGCTTGGCAATGGTTTTCAACAGAAGTGAGATAGGATGGGGAGAAACCGGTTGCTGGTCCCCACCCGTCTCACTCGTCCTCTTCCCAGAGCTGCAACTTTGAGTCTCTGGGAATCCAAACTATGCATAGGTTTGGGGCAGGAGGTCCCTTGAGTCTCTTAGGTCTTCGTTCCTTTTTATTTTGGTACTGTGCATCAGCAGCCTTTCCCCAAAGTACTTGAAGTCAGTTTTAGATGCTTTGTTTTATTTTTCTAATCAAAACCTTGGGAACTCATCAGAGCCTTTTCAGTATTTTCAATGAATATCGTGGTACGCCTATACTCCTGAAGCCCAGAGCTCATTCCTTCCAAACAGAGAGCCTTAATCTTTATGTTGGAACACAGACCACATGCGTGGACGGCAGCAAGGCATCCATTCTGGAAGGGCTGTGGACATGGTATTTCCAGTGATTGTCGCCACCCACACCAACTGTGTAGACTTGCATAAGTTGTCTACACCCTAAGGTAATCTAAGACTAAAATGTAAACATTTATTTTTATTATATAAATTTATAAGATGTTTTATGTTTAATGCCTAATTTCTAGAAAGTGCCAGAAAAATGTATATTAACTATTTTGATTTTATGTACAATGATTTATACTCTCATTTTGAAAAGACACCACAAAGCACATAAGCTAGATAATTACAAGTAACTGGTTTTTTTTTTGTTTGTTTGTTTGTTTTTGGTAACAAACATTTAAAACTTTGAAGGTTTTTAAAGACTCAACTTCTCAAATGGTACTTGGAACTCTCCTCATTGATAACCTACAGCAGTTGTGATAGGAATAAATAATCCATTTCAGTGATTGTGGTGGGCTACTGAAATATTTGAAATGGTGAAAAGGGATGGAAGAATAAAATATGACAAGGAGTTTTGAACTTCCTAAAAGTATCATACTTTAATAAAGTTTAATAGTATTTTTAAAGAAAACAGTGATGAATTCTACAGTCCAGGGCTTGCCAGTACAAATTGCCTATTATAATTTTTTCCTTCATTTGACAAAAATCAGTGGCTGGAAGTAGCTCAGACTAAGTGGTCAGCCTGGTTTGAATTTAATCATCTCTTTAAGTCTTATATGGCCAACATGGAAAACTTGTTCACTTGTCATTTGAAGTGCCATCAAGTGTAGGCTACAGAAGGGGGACCTTCCTACACTGATTAAAAAAAAGAAAGAAAGAAAAAAGTCATAATCCTATGCCAATGTGACATCTGTGACTTTAAACATTTAATAATCTTGCTGTTTTCCTTCCTTATGAAGAATGCAATTGGGAAAATGAAGCATCTTGAAAATGTAGAGACCAGCCTGCTGGTATGTGTCCCTCTCTTTGTAGATTGGTTTTGTGAAGACTTTGTATTATACTTTGGAAATTGTACAGTGAACTCTGTTGAGGAACACTGGTTGGTTGCCATTCATTGTCCGTCCACTAAGTCTCTCCCATGAATAAGTCAAGTGCATGACTACAATTATTGTTGATTAGAAAACAAAGGTGGAATAACCTTGAATCTCTTGAGAGAAGTTTATCAGGAAAGTTCAAGGCACTTCTCTGAATTCAGACCTTTCATAAGCTCTGCTCTGCCTGCTGATTTTCACTGCTTTGTATGAATGAGTTTGACCCAGCAATCTCAGGTCACAGGTTCTCTTAGTAAATGGGAACAGCCGCCTGCACACAGCACGCTGTGGGCACCTTCCAGGTCAAACGTTTCATTGCATTTCATAATATCTGACTTATAGCCAGGGAAATAGGTATGATCTCTATTAAAGTGTAGAATACTTTCTTTAGAGACAAGTTTATCATTAATAATCACGTCATAGTAAAATTTCATTATCAGAATTTCCTCCAGAAGTGTTCAAATATAGGTTATGCAATATAGTCATAAAATATGCACTGAAATAACTCTCTTAATTTGAGAACAAGTGGTGAGAATACGTTGTGATAGAAAATATTCTAAGTGTACTTTAAAACGAACTCTAAAGCCCTCCTGCAAAAATTCTAGAAGAATATATGATAGCACAGTCCATCAGGATGGGGGAGGGAGATGCAGAGTGAACTCCAGGAAGACAGCTTGGCTCTTCAGAGCACCAGGTGTTTTATTGAAGTGTATTATTGATGTCTCACCTTTGTTTTGACTTTATTGTGCGGTTTTTCATAAATTTCATGTGTCTTTGTTCAAAATCTGTACTCCAGTCTTAGAGTTAGAAGCCTGTGGCTTCTTTTTAAAAGTTTGATCTTGATCTTAATGCTACAGAGTTTAAATGTATGAAAGGTGATTGTCAAAAACAATTCACTGTATATTTAAAATTCACCACTGACATCTACAGTATGCATCTAGTTATAATAACCTAGGTTATGTGAAACTATATAAAAAGATAATAAGATTAATAAAAATTTTGTGCTATAAATCAGAATTATAAATCTACCTTGGTTGAGAAATCTTTGTTCAGATATTTTTAAAGTTTAGGAGCATTTTTGTGCTGCTTTTAGTATTTCCCAAGTATAGTTAGCAGAAAGTTAATGTGTTATATGTGAAATGTTTAAGGAATTCTAGAAGAGAGTAGTTTTTGAAAATATATTTGCTACATATTTTTTTTCTCCTCCTGATCTAAATTACATCATTAAGTCAGTTAAAGCTTCTAAAGATACCAGTATTCTTTGTGGGAGGGGGGAGGTTAATCACTGATTTATCCACCATCAAAATCCCAGAGTTAATTCTAATTGAGTTCTAAGCTAACAATAGGTAGTCAAAGTATGAAAATTTAATCTTAGTATGTCACTATATCTATTTCTTTTATTCAGTTTTCAAATTAGAGGGTTACTTACCTTAAATTACTTACCTTAACTTGGAATAAACTACACACACACACACACACACGTATGTATTGTTGCTCTGCACAGCTCTGGTGCTTGATTAATTGGCATACGCTCTATTAAGTATTTATCATATGACTGTGATGAACTCTTGGTCATAAAAAGCAAGATTAGAAGAAACAGTCCCCCAATAGTTTGCATTTGGTAATTAAGAGAAAACCTTCTAGAGTGCACCTCATTTAATTTCTCTACTGAATACATTCAGATTTTAAATTATGTCTATAATTCTCTTGGCTGAAAAACAGTGGTATTTTAAGATTTCATTAGACATGTTCTGTCTGAGAGGAAGAAATGTGCATAGGTGTGCTTCTCAGATAAGTGTGTGAGAAGAGATTTGGTCAAAAGCATCAAGTGAATGACCCTGAGCCAGGATGGAGCCCAGGCCAGGTGACTCCCAGTGTCCCAGTACCAGTGACTGGTTACTTGGTGGTGGTGATCTGTTTTGTTTTAAAACCCAAAAGTTTTTATAGCAGAATCAACAGGCATCAATGTGATCTGATATGCAAAACAGCCCTGAGAGGACACCATGGCTAAGATTACAAAGCTCCAGCTCAAGACTGATTTAGGATTGTGTAAATGAGTGACATTTTTTCAACATTCCTTGTAATAGTTAAGTCTGTGTACTCTTGTGATGCTGTTCTTCTAAAAGTATTGATTTCAGGTACCCAGCCAAGCTTTGTCTGCTGGAAGCACAGTAGATACTGATGGTTATTTCCTGGAAATCTTGACACACTTATTGTACTGTGTCACTGGGAAAAGTTAAAGTGTAATGTTTGGTGTTGAGAAGTGACTGATGTGAAAATAGGAACATGTGTCTATAATATCAAATATGGCTTTATTTGCAGTGGAATCTAACTTCCTTATCTTGTAGTAGCATTTCCTTGCTCTGTGTTGTATCTTTTTTAAAAATCCATTATTCCTTGCAGTGGCATTAGACAAGTTGAACACACCAAGACTGAAAGTGTTCAACTTAAGAGATCAATCCAGGAGCCCGGATGAGTTAGAATTTTTCTCTGGAATTTGCATGTGAAATTTTAAAATCATAGTCCAGAAGAGAACAAACATTATGTAATGGTGTTGTTTTTAATCCCTTTGCTCATTTTTAAGTCTTGATCACATCTAATTTCTAGTATTTCTGAAATATTTCATTTATTTTCATGTTCTTTAATGAAAAATTATAGTTCAAATTCCTCAACATGTCAGACTTTTGAAATGAGAAAAATGTTGTTGTTTTTTTAAAGATTGTTTTTAAAAATCTGATTTGGAATTCATTTATCTTAAAGCAGAAAGATTTTTCTTTGCTGGCCACTTACATACGATGGGTAATTTTCAAAAAAGTACTGTGCTACGGTTGTTTTGTATCACCTATGTAATGTATTATAAAGGTGGGTGATTATCATTCCTCAGAATTCTGTATGTTAAATTATCAACAGTAAAATGTTTTAATGTTGTTATCTTTTAAGATACTTGTGTTATATTAACATGTCTCATGTTTTCTGGAGGAGATTGAAATATAGCCCCCTGCCCAAATCTGTTATTTGTAAATAAGAATAATAATTTCATTGTTCATGCATTTTTTTCCTCATAAAAATGTTTACCCCAAAAGTGACATACTATCTAAAGGGTGGTCCTAATCAGTTGAGAATACTCCCCCTTACTCAAAAAATAGTAAAATATAATTTCTGAAACTTAACAGACGTTTTACTCATTGTCTCAAAAGGTCTTTGTAATGGTCAAATTGTCCAATTCATAAAACCATGGGGAAGTTGCTTTTAATACTTAAGTGAGAATTTTTAAACCTTAGTTGTAAGTGCAAAAATGTCTCTTAGATATTGAGTCTCCCTCACTCCTTTGAAGAAGGGAGTCTAAAGAACAGGGTCATGAAGTTAACATTTCTCCCTGCCTTATTTTGGCTTGTCCTGCACAGATTCTGTCACTTTCCTTTGAATACCACCACACCTGGGTTTTTTTTTTTTACCACCCAGACCTCTCGTCTGCTACTTAAAGGACATCCACTAACATCTTTTCAAATCACAATCCTCCATTATCCCAGACCCTGCCAGCCAGCCCAGAACCATTCTCCAAAACTGCTGGTGACCAGACAGTTCTGCCCAAGTCAGATTTCCCTGCTTCACGGAGTACCAAGATAAGACCATAGGTCATCCTAGGGAAGCAGATGTTGGTGTTTTTTTGTCACAAGTTTTGCTAAACCATACATGCTCCTGCCCACCTCTTTTATAAGCATAATTGACATTAAGAAAAGAACTTTTGGGGGCTACGGCTGTAGCTCAATGGCAGAATGCTTGCCTAGCATGTATAAGGCACTGAGTTTGTTTCTTAGCATCATATAAATATAAACAAAATAAAGGTATGCTGTTCATCTACAACTACAAAAAAAAAATTAAAAAAAAACAGAACTTTTTTAAATGGTGAGGAAGAATCAAACTCACAAGTTCAGAAATATTAGCACCATACTGTCACCAAAGAACAAGTAAGCTTGCTTTCCCCCACAGTTTTCCAAGGCTGGCATGTGTCCCCACATGTCCCAGGGAAGGAGTAGCCTCACTGAGCATCCTGTTGAAGGTAGCCCTCGATCAGCTGCACAGCAATTGTTGTCAGTAAAGTAGGAGAAAGCTGATTATTCCAAGGGGAAAATTATTAATAATTTTTAATCACTTGTATTAATCATAATTATTTTTCATCATAATTATTAATCACTTTACAAATAAATTGAATGTAAAATGTCTTAGCCATCCAACTCTTATACTCTCTTCCCTTGGGAAATGGTGCTTATGAGCTATGTTAGTTAAAACCTAGTTTGTGCTACTCTCCCAGGTCTCAAGAAATCTGACAATGTTCAAGCATACAAAGTTAACAGATATTGAGAATAACTGTATCTAAATACAAGGTTATCATTTATAGGCAAAGGTTTGATTTATGGAATGCAATACTATTTAACTACTGGCACAGGTGAATGGGTGATAAAGCAGTCTAGATTCTCATTTTCTACATATTGAAGGCACCAAGATGTGTCTAGTTTTGATTTTTAAACTTCCTTGTAGTTCATCATAGTTATTTGAATATTCTAGAGTATAACTTTTTCAAAATTAACAGTATACATATCCGTTCAATCTCTCTCTATATATATATATTGTTGCTGTTGTTTGTTTGTTTCTTTTGTTTTGTTTTGTTTTAAAAGTTCACCCCTGAATGGTGAACTAAAGCTAGAAGACAGACTACAGTTGTGCTCGGAGCCTACAGTTCAGAATTGCCTTGTAATGTCCTGGTGTGATTTTGTTTAGTTTCCTTTTTAACTCAACAACTTGGAAACAATGAGTTTAAAAGGCACTATTTTCAACCAGGTGCAGTGGCACACACCTGTAATCCCAGCTATTTGGGAGGCTGAGGCAGGAGGATTGCAAGTTCAAGGACAGCCTCAGCAATTTAGCAAGACCCTGCCTCAAAAAAAAGGGGGGGGGCTGGGAATGTGACTCAATGGTAAAACACCCCTGGGTTCAATCCCTGGACTAAAACATATAAACACACACTCTCCCTACTCCCACTCTCTATATATTTCCTTTTCCCTTCTTAAGCTGAAAGAGAATTTTTTTTTCTTTTTCTAGTCTTTATCTCCCATTTAGAGAGTAAAGGCTTCCTGAATGACAGCAATGTCCTTCCCTCAGTGAAGCTGCTAAAACCAAAAGCTGGAGTCTACTATTTGCAAACGATTTTGAGATGAGAACATTACTTTGACAGGCTTCCATGCATTTTTCCATGTAAAACTCATAGAAGAACCAGATGTGACACTGGCCACCGATCCCTTAGCTCACTTGCTTTTTTAAAATGTATTTTCCACATCTAGGCTTCTCTGGGTTTGTTTGTTTGTTTGTTTGTTTTTTGGAACCACCAGAACCTTAATTTCTCTGTGCTGCTCCACAGCTGCCCACAGATGTCCCAGAGGGGGTCAGTACCTTTAGCAGGGCTTGCCTCTTGGGAGAAGCAATTCACCTGTGCCAGTAGTTAAGCAAAGAAAACTGAATGTTAGGTTCAAGTCAACAACTGGTAACCTGAGAGCATGCTCTATTCCTTAGATTTTGATACTTCTTTAAAAAAAAATCTTTTTTTCTTCCTTTGAGTATAGACCTATATATTTGACTCGAAGAGGGGTAAGGGATTAGTAGTAAAATTTGAACCAAGTGACCTGGGTGACTTACTGCCTTTGTGTTTCTCATCTGTATGTCTGTCTGGAAAATGTATGTTACTAACTCCCTCCCTCCTACCTGGAGTCTTTTAAGGAGTGAACAGAAAATATGTATCCATGATAAAACTATTTAGACATTTTCTTCTTTTTTTAAACCCAGGAATAAACCTGGTTTGCAGATAACATCATATGGCCACAAAAACTAAGATTTGGATGTGACTAAGAGGATTCTTTCAAATCATCTTCTGTGTTCCAACTAGGAAGAGAAACTCCTTGAATGAATGAAAAAAGCAAAACAAAAACTTCCCTAAGCTCTTTCTAGAAGAGTGTAACATCAATTTACCATCCATCCCAGAAGGGTTCTTAATATTTCAACAATTTTTATGAGTGAAAAAAATGCACTTTTTTTTTTATTTCTTGGAAAAGTGAATTAAGGCGTTGAATTAGATGCTCTAATGGAACAATTTAGTTGAAACCATAACATTGGTTTTGGAGACAAGAGCACAGGGCTGTGGTACCTGTTCCAGCATTGACTTTACTGTGTGACCTCAAAGAAATGATTTAACTTCTCTGTGCCTCAGTTTCTCCATATACAAAATGGGGATAATGATATCAACCATTGCCTACCTCATAGGGATGTTTTGGGGACAAATGAGATAATATAGATAAGTATGAATGCTTTGACCTCTTTCGAAGAAAGGTGCTATATAAATTGAAGCTGTATTGTTTTTAATGATACAATGATTAATTACGTTAGAGTTTAGATAATAGCAATACTGTTAGTCATGTTAAGAATCTCTTTCAATTTGATGCATATTTCCAATTCTCTTCTGTGGCTAGATCTTGATTATTCATCCAGTAATGGTACCTAAAGAACTGAAGTGGGTATTTGTTTTCTGTGTTCCTGCTGGTAGTACTTCAATTCTGAATATTCAGAAAAGGCTGGAGTGTAGCTTGTAATATCTTATAGTTTACATGTAATGAACCTTATTCAAGCTGTATATAAAAAGTATAATTACATGTAAATAGCAGGTACACTGTAATTAAAGGCACTTATCAAATTGTCTTTGTTCTTTTTTAATTATAATAAAGGTCAGTTTTATATAAAAGCTTGTTAAAATTCATTTGGTATTTGGAAAGGTCAAGAAGAGCTGATTCGTATACTCTTAGTACATAGCCAGGATTGGGGACTCCCTCAGTCAGCTCACCACCCTGACAGGAAGGGGAATATGAGTAAATCTCAGACCAAAGTGAGTAGCAATTAGGGTCAAAATCTGCAGAAAAGAACCTGCAGATTTGCATCCCAGCTCCTAGGTGACTGTGGGCTCATAGCATAGAACTGACTAGAGGGTTACCTGGGTACTAAGGTCTTCAGCATGGTACCCAGAAAATGCTAAATGCTCTTAAATACTAGCAAGACCAACTTACACAACAACCTTGGGAAATTTTGGGTGGTGTCTGTCTACACTTGACAGGTACTTCTAGGAAAGTGAGCAGGCAGTGCCCAGGTCTTGAGGACCCATCTGCAAATCCACTGAAGGGACCAAGTAACTCCAGGAGAAGGTCTCAGAGCAAATGGCTTTACTTAGAATTTAACCTTGGCCACTCTCTCCTGATGAAGACTGACCTTGAGGACTGGGGTTGTAGCTCTGGGGTGGAGCACTTGCCTGGCATGTGTGTGGCACTGGATTCAATCCTCAACATCACATAAAAATAAATAAATGAAGATATTGTGTCCATCTACAACTAATATGGGGGTGGGGGAGACTGGCCTTGGAGCCAAAAGGTGTAACAGTGAGGGTTTTCTTTTGTATTCTGTCTCCTTTTTATCAGTGCCCCTGAACTCGGGATGCCCCAAGCCCTATATTCTGTATCCCCTCAGATAAGACCAACCCACAGCTCAGCCTCCCTTTCTGAGCCTATTCCTTGCTCTTTCCTTCTGTCCCACCCCATCTGCACCAGGATACTCACCTCATGGCCCTATTTCTCCGGGGACTCACATGCTCATTTCTAACCAGCTAACTTTCTCCTATGGAGCGGGTAAATATCCCCCCCTACTTTTAGGACCATTCACAGTTTAAGGAGCTTGCTCTTGGGGCTCTTGAACCAGAACCGTCCTTCACTCTAATGATGGGCGTTGCAAGCCCAAGAGAGGCTGCAGGGAGTATATGGGGTGGAAGAGGCAAAACAGGGAGCCATGGCTTCCCCAGACTATAAGCCATCTCACCTGGGGCCTGCTGAGCCCTCAGAGGCCATGCTTGTCCCTTTCCCGTGTCAAAGGACATGGCTCCCCAGAGGACTTAGCTTCCTTGCATATGCTGTAAAGCATTAATGGCAGCCTGGAGGCAAGTGTGGGGAAATTCCTGATCATCTTGGTTTCCAACCCTGGATTCACTTCTAACCATGTGGGAGAACTGCCTGCCTCTCCTTTCTAAGACCCATTAGTCTCAACGCCATTCTATATGTGAAACCTCGGAGCTAAGAAAAGCTTGTTCTGAGTCTTTGGGAGACAGAACCAGTCATTGCACCTGGACTAACTGAACAAATTGAAGTTCTGGAGCTCAGAAAGTTAGTAGGGTTTCTGTCATCTTGGAAGAGAGTCTCTGCTATTCTAGCAGAAGTACACTGCCAATTCCAGCACTTAGCAGACAGTTAGCAAATGTTCATTGAGAAATAAGAATTCAGATTCCCTAATTATGGTGACACAAACATATCCCACTCACTTTGTCATTGTTTTAAAAACTGGTTCAGTCGTCCACTTTTCTGCCTCTGAGACTGCAATCTGCATTATGATTCTATTCATTTAAAATATGACCCAGGACCTTACTATACCTTTAAGGTTGGTTTGTTGGGGGGTTTTAGCACTGCTGGGGATTGAACCTGGGGGCCTTGCACATGCTAGGTTAGCATTCTACCACTGAGCTACGTCCCCAGCTACCTTTAAGGCTGTCATTCTGATGGTTTGTTCTCATCCCAGTTGATTCTTAAATCAAAATCTTGAGGCTGGACCTCAGAGGCTCCAAAGCCAACTGTCTTACCAGGCGTCACATCTGTTTCCAAGATGTCTCCATCTGTATGTCCTGTTGTCATCTCAACATGTGATCATTCTGGAGTGGAATCATCTTTCTCGGCTTTCTCATTTTGGCGTTTGGGGCACATTTGAGATGTGAAGTGGCCCTCATAACATATACTGCAGTTTTCTACGCTTAGCAAGCACCAAATAAGTGTTTGGTCTTTTGCTCGAATTCTCTCACCTCTCTATCATCCGTAGTCCTACGAGTACATCTTGTAATAGTGGTTTTCAAGTTTACCATTTTATTCTTGAGCTTTTCCAAAAGCTTCTCTGTGATGGTGAATTTATGAAGAGATGGCTGAGTAACAAGGTAGGGATGTGCTCCAAACTGGACCAATGCAAAAAGCGGTGGGGGAGAAAGAGAGGCATCTGACTTGAGATAAGCAGCCTCACCACCTGGCAGAGGGGTCTTCTGAAACAGACCTCGTGACTCAAAGCAAACAGCTTTCAATGCCCAAGCCCAAAAGAAAAAAAAAATCATTGCAACATCAAAGTAGAAAGACAAGTTAACAGGAAAACAAAAGAAACCACAGGAAATCCACTTATTGATTCATTCTATAAATATTTACTCAGCACTTAGTTTGTCCCAGGTGCTGAAAGACAGTGACAGAAGAGAGACAAAACTCTTGTCTCATTGGAGCTCACATTGTAATGGTTTTAGTGTCTACCTTTAAATGTTTGGCACACACATTTAAATTCTCAGGGAATGTAGTATCCTGATATCTCAGCCAATTGTATGGTCTCTGGAGATCTACTTTAGATAAAAGGGGTCTGTGAGCAGGTTATAGTTTATATGAGTTCAAAAGGTTAATTCAAAGAAAAAGCACTCCAGGCATGGCACCCAGCCAACACCAAAGCTCCAAGCCAGGAAAACATCGACCTTCTCATACACATATACACAAGTTAATGCAGGGTCAACCCCCTGGACCCCAGATGTCTCTCTCTCCACTATGCTTGCCCATGTCTAGCCATTCCCCTCCTGAGTACCTCTGCACACTCCAAATCAACCTTCCATAATGTTACTAGAATTATCCTTCCAAAAAGCAAGCCCATTTGGGTAAGGAGACAAAGACAGATTACTCAGTAAGGTAAGTACTACACCCCTACTATTTCCCGACACTGTTCCAGGTGTTGAGGATGCAGGAGTAAATAAAACAAGAGCTTATACTTCAATGAACATTGAGTCTAGTGGGAGAAGAACATAAACAACTTGTCAAAACAAATTCAGATCCTAAGTGTGATGAATAAAACAAGAGAGATAAAGGAAATAAATGAGGATGAAGTAAAGAGTTCCAGAGTTTGTGGGTGAGGAAAGAGAATACCCTTTTCTTGTAGGTAGACCAGTGAGTGACCTGGCACCATTTAAAACGTGAGGAGCAAAACATTCCAAGAAAAGAGCAATCCCAGGGCTGGGGTTGTGGCTCAGTGGTAGAGCACTTACCTAGCATGTGTGAGGCACTGGGTTTGATTCTTAGCACCACATATAAATAAAGGTCTATCAACAACAACAAAATATTTTTTTAAAAAAAGCAATCCCAAAGAACTCTAAAGAGGAAAAGAGGCTGTTCTAAAACCTCCATGGAGTCCCAGTGATAAAGAATGGGGAAAAAAAATTAAAGATGAGCAGGGATCAGATCCAATAAAGCAAAGTAGACCAAGATCAGGAATTGAGATGTGATTCTAGGAGCAAAGAGAAGGCATTGAACGATGTCAAATGGGTTTAGCAACAATTATCTTTCCATACCAAAAAAAAAAAATTGGATTTACAATTTATATTATAAATGAAAATAAATTTGATATTAAGAGATAAAGAACTAACAGAATAGCTGTAACAATATAAACAATATAAACCTGTCATTTATGAGGTGCCGTTCAATATGCACCTTTAATCTTTTTTTCTCCATAATTTTATTGGTGCATTATAGTTGTACATAATGATGGAATTTGTTGTTACATATTTGTATACAAAAAAATACCAATATAATTTGGATAATATTCCTCCCCAGCATACCACCCCTCCCTTCCCTCCTCTATTCTGCTCTCCTCTTTATCTTCCACTTATGAGAGAAAACACAGCCCTTGATCTTCTGAGTTTGACTTATTTCACTTAGCACAATGGTCTTAAAAGTTCCATCCATTTTCCTGTAAATGACACCACCTTTAATCTTAAAAACAAACTATAAGTTAAATACTCTTATTCTCACTATACAGATGATCAAACTGAAGCAGCACAACTAAGTTGTCCAGCTTTGGGAGGGATCTGAACTCAGGTAGTTCATCCCAGGCCTCAATTCTTTTTTTTAATATTTATTTTTTAATTAGACACTATATTTTATTTTTATGCGGTGCTAAGGATCGAATCCACTGCCTCATGCATGGTGGTGAGCACTCTACCACTGAGCCACAACCCCAGCCCCAGGCCTCAGTTCTTAATCAAAATTGTGCTATGAAGATTTTTAGTAGGGTTTAGAACTGAAGGATTTCTCAAGCAATGTCCAAAAAGCACAAATCATAAAGGAAGACACTGATATATTTGTCTTCATAAATTTATAAAACTTCTTTATAAATGTTTAAATATATGCATCAGATAAGAAGCAACATATCTAAGGACAGCACTAACTGCCATGATCTCATTCACCTAAAGTACGCTTGCTCAAAGTAGGAACTCCTAAACATATGTCAAGGGATGGATGGTACATGAGCAGGTAGTAGGTGAATAATATTTAAGTCTATGTGTAGCTGGCTCCCAGCTGTACACGTGTGCTAGTGACATAAAGGTGAACTCAGTGTGTGGGAGATGCAAGCATTTGCAAGGAGTTAATGGGCTTCAGCCAGAGGCAGTTGGAGTTTGTACTGGTAAGTGTGAGGACCAAAGGCAGGAGACCAGTTCACACATAATGAGGGCTTCACCAGGCAAATACAATAGAGGAAAAACACAAAGATGCTAATTCTCAATCTAACTGAGTGGTAGAACAGAAGAGATCTGATGACTGCTGCAATGTAAAGGATTGGGAACATACAGATGTAAAGATAATT